AATATGTGTAGCACTTTGCCTTCTATTTAAAAAATGTTAACAAGTTTAGCTGAAATCATTCAGATGTGTCTCTATAACTGGTTGCAGCTAAACTGGTAAGTTGCAGCAGATATTTGCAAAATCATATTAAACATGTTTGCCAGTAGGTAGTTCTGCATGCATCTTGAAACTCTCAGTTTCTGGAAAATTTACAGAGCTCTCCCTGAGACACCAGTGAAAGGGTGCTGTCTCAGCAAACAGAGACCAGAGGGCCTGCCTATACTTCTGGTATTTTTTGTGTTGTTTTATATATATATATCTTCCCTGTTTTATCCTGATATTTTTGCCTGATGACTCATTGTTTTTAAGCTTGTTCACCTAAAAGATGAGTGATCCAGAAGTATGGAACAGCCCGACATGCCAAGATAGAAATAAACAGAGCATGGTTTTACATGAAAGGTTTTGCCAGGTTTTCTACTGAAGTGTGCAAATTTAAAGCTGTTTATCAACACCCTGCTCTGCGCACTCAGTGTTGTGTCACAATGCAGTGACAGTGACAAACTCCTGAGCAGACAAGCCCACTTAAAAATACTATGGAGGCACTCAGCAATAAAGGACAATTGCCTGCAACATCCAAGAACTATCAAGGACTTCTGAAGACTGATGGCCAATATGGAGTATCACTTTACAAACTTATTGTACATCCTAATGCTGTTGCCTTGCTGAATTGCTGAGAGTTTTTCTGGTTCAAGGAGTGATGTAACACTAGTTTGGCCCTCCACTATAGTTTGTGTAAGTTATTTCGAGCAAGATTAATTTGTGTGAGCTCCCCAAGTGCAGCTAACTTGCTCACAACTAGCTTTAGGTCTCCAAGATATTGTGCACATATATCTGGTATTGGAAAGCTCATAGCAGCTGGCAATCCATTGGCAGTTTCCTCAGGAATATCAAAAAATTCAAGCTGCATGATGCAATTACCAGAAGCAGTGGGAGAATATTTTATTTCTTCAGTCTCGGGCTTTTTTATGTTTTTTTAGCCAGTGGCTCACTCTTATGACATTTACTTTATGAAGGACAACACTGTTACACGAATGGCTTACTTTCAAGTTTTCTTCCAGGAAAAAGTACCACAGCTGTAAAATCTCTAACCATCTGACTGATAGTCTGTTTTACCAATGCCCATGCTATATACAGAAAAGAACTGATGGTTGTAGAGCTGCTTTAAGATGAGTCATTACTTGTTTACTTATTCTTTAATAGTTTTGCCCAAATTTCACAATTTCTATCTACTGCTCAGTTACAGATTCCTGCCTAGTTTTCCTGATGTTCTTAATTTTAAATCTCTTCCAGCATTACAGCTCTCCAGATTTTTACCTGTTACCATCTGTTGATTTTTTACCAAAATATTATTCATCTGTTTTCGAAATGGAATCCCATTGCAGTATTCTGCATGTGTTTCTAATCTTCCCAAGAACCCTTGAATTATTTCTCCATTTTCAGCAGCATGCTCAGCTCCTCCTAGTTTAATAGATCTGCAGATTTCATTAATGTACCATTTACTCCCTCTTCTAGCTCATTATTGAAGCTATTAAATGAGATCCGAAGTAATACTAATCTTTGTGTACTGCACTAAATGCCTCCCTTCAAACTTATTGTTTATCATTACCCTTCATTGTTTGTCATCACCCTTCATTTCAGTCAACATGATAGTTCATTTCCAATTTGATTTAAGTTTGGGAACAGAATTTTGACAGAATTGGTGATGGGAAAAGAAAGGCTAATCAACAATCCAGGAGAGGCTTCTAATTAAGGCTTAATTTAGAGAATCAAAGTTATGAGTTCTCTATGAGTTCAGCCGCGGTGTAAGTCAGTATGGTGTCTCCATAACTTAATTGAGAACACCTTAAGCCCAGTGCTAAAATATCATAAAGAAAACAGTATATGGCAGAAGTCAGACATAAGGCAGTATATCCTCTGCTCCCTACTCATTAATTTTGTATTACTATTAAAAAAATCAAGTTTGTCTGGCAGACTTTAAAGTGTTTTAGTAAATTTGTTTCTCAATAGCTGCTCTATTATGTTGCCACAGAGAGAAGCTAAATTTATGAGTAACAATTACAAAGAGAACTCACAGAAGATACGAACTTCTCTATCTTTGGCTGTTTGAGAGACATAGTCTTGCTTCCAAAGAAGGTATGTCTTTCTACTGCTCCATGCATGGTTTAAAATTTCAAGAACAAGATTTTAATTTTCACCACCCTTTCAAAATTTAATTTCTAAACTCCATAGTAAATACTATTAATAATAGGAATAGGATATTTACAATAGGAAACATCAATTCAGTCAGGAAAATCTCCTTTTGACAGGATACAATTCCTCTGATAATAATTAGCCCCACATGACTGAAAGTCCAACACCAAAATCTATTCTTCTTTCACCTTAATAAACTATCTTGCATTTTGTAAAGTTAGTTACTAACATGTATTATCAGGGCCAATTACTCATGCTTCTTATTGACTTGACAAAAAAACTCTTTGTCCAAGTGCATTTGGATACTGCTTGTCTTTTTCTTACAAATACTTGGCTTGAGCTCATTTGGTTACATATGTGCCAGTGCAGATGTAAAGGCCTTAAATGTAGGCTGGAAAAATATTGCCTCTAGATAAAGCTCTAGAGTTCTCCTAAAGAGAAACATATCTGTATGTGTTGGACAATAAAACAGTGGGACAGAGAAATACTAAAATTCACATTGCAGCCAGATTATTTGTTACATGTAGGGAAAATGATCAGAGTAAGAAGGTGGGTGCATCCTAGAAGCCATGGAGAGGGTCTAATGAAGATGTGATTTCCAGTCACACTGCAGTAAGGAGTGGTTTATGAATCCAGAAATACAACCAGAAGTGGGATCACAAATGTAGAAACTGGGTTGCCAGAAAAGTTTGATCTTAGTTGCTTTTAGCACAGCTTCTCAGAATTTTGAAGCCCTGGTTCTTTCAGAATCTGCCTACTTACCTCACATAACCTGGGATCTCATTATTGTGAATCTGACTTAACCTCTGAGGAAGATTTTGTTCACACTCCCCCAGACTGCTTATGGAATGTTTTCTTCCTACTCAGTCTCTCTCAAAACGCATCTCTGTTGATTCCTGATAGGGAATCAACAGTGACACTTTTTAGCCTTGTTTTAATACTTAAGCATTTTTATAAAACTTTTTATTGGGCCTATCTGCCCCTCTCCCCCTATTACTGAGTTACATTTATATTATATCTCCTGTGAAACTGAGTTGTATTATTCTCAGGAAAAAGATTCAATGTTACATTTTCAAAGGTGCTTACCAGTAACATTTAATGATGTAAAAAATGAGCATTATTACTCTGGTCCATTAATACTCATTAATCATGATTTAAGGTGACCCTAGTGAGTTTTACTGTTAACTGTTCTTATCTTGCAGACGAAAGCCTGAGGATGCTGTACCAACAAGAGAACATTGACTAGTCCATTTTATTGATTTTTGATTATCTGTATAATACACATGAAGGATATGAATGTTTGCCTAGGCCACGTGTCAGCATGTGTTTTGGGAACAAATTAGTATGTTGTGCCTCATTTCCCCCTTTGTTCCTTTGTATTCAGGGGGCTTTTACCTTTCCTCTGAAAGACACTTGAGGAAATACATTCCTGCTGTGAAAGCCCGATTTATTTTGCATTGCATCTGCACTGTCTGGTTCTGCAATATTCGTTTTGGAATTAAATCAGCTTCCCTGTGTCTTTACAAAGGAATTCATTTTTTTCTAAGAGGTTGATTCTTTTATTGTGTGCATTCTTGGCAGAAGTATGTGCACTGACTGTATTAGTGGCTTTCCTATGTAGAGTAAGGTTTCTTACTTTTATTATCAAAGAAAATGTCAGTTACATGTATAATGCTTTACAGAAGTAGGTCCTCACCCAGAAGGATTTTAAAATCAAGAGATTCTCTTACTTCAGATAGAGGTAAGTGGAGTAAAGAAGAATAGTGGTCATATATTACAGCAGTCCAATATGAGCTGATACTGACCTCGGCAAAAGCAGTGCACACGCAGTGTTATAATAAGTGAGGGAAAAGCACCAGTAAATAAAAAAATTAAAAAAAAATTTGCAGTAGTGCCATCTAGTGTGCCAGGTGTTGCAGTTTTCTGGAGAGGGACAATAAACTACTTTCAACCTATCCCACTTGTTACCTGACTCTCCTCCTGCTGCTGCTTCCTTTTCAGTCTGCTGACAGGAGAGCAGTAACAGCATTGACAGAAGGTAGAGGAAAAGACCTGAGGGCTGTTTTGCAGATGCCGATTCTGGCACACATGCCATAAGGTTGTCATTGCTGGTCTAGAAAAATGAGCATCTACGGGGTTTTAAAGAAGGAGAAAGATAGCTGTTCTGTCTGTACTCCCATACAAATCTTGCTCATCTATCCATTGGTTTCCACTGCAAAACATGTAGTGGCTAAAATATCCTTTTTCAGCTACTGCAGGCAAGTTCTCCCTTGGAGAGAAAGTGTTGGAAGAGAAAGTAAAATTAATTTTGATATCAGAAAAGAAGAGGAGCTGGTTTTTGAAGCTTACTGGAAGAGGTGGAAATTATTTTATGTCTGGTGGCTAAAGGAATTACGTTGAACAGAGGGTCCAGAAAGTTCTCTGTATGGGAGATGGGAGTTGAGATGCAAGTGAAGGGAAAGAGGGACCTGTTTTGTGCATTAATTCTTTGTACTAGGAGGAGCCCTTTTACTGTGACCACCCTAGTCTTTTCCACTGCTGCCTTTTCCACTTTCACTGGTAGCTGACTGAACCTCTCCGCTTTAATCCCGAGATATGCAAAGTGCATGGCTTACCCTTCAGTGTGTGAAGCTGCACAGTTTATTTTTGTCTTCCATATAGAATCTGCTTGTAACAGGTGGAAGAGTGATCAAGCCAGGAAGTGTTGTCTGCAAATGAAACCAACATCTCCACAGCACACATAATGCTGTGTATTCACCTGTCCTCTGCAGCCAGTGCTGGAGGATATTGGTTTTCCAGTTGGATTTGCTTGGGCTGCAGCTACAGCAGCATATCAAATTGAAGGAGTCAATTTTTAGCTATCAAAGTGTTAAAGAAGTTTTCAGTGAACAAAAATCTGGATCCAAGAAGAAGAGTGTTTGATCTTTGCCTTGTTATGCAGACACTACTTCTGATGCAAAACCATGTAGCACTTCTGTTTAAACACTTCTGACTTGAGGAGTAAAAAGAAGGTGAAAGATGTTTCAAATCCCAGGAATACGGTTAGGTAATGAAAATGGAGCTAGTTATTGGGGGGGAGGAAGCAGTTATAAGTAATTTTTTCATCTACTTCTTGTGTATATCCTTTCTGTAGAGCTAGTTCAAGTAGATTGCTATTGGCTATTTTGAAACTGGATGGGAGAACTACCTCATCAGATATTGATACTCACATGAAGTCTTCAGTTAGGAACTCATCTCCAAAGATTATGAACAAAAATGAACCAAGAGGTTAATAGATGGACTTGTAGAGGCTGTCCCCTAGGGATATGTGTCATGTTCCCAGCTGAATAGAGGGACTGATGAAGGGATTTTCCCAGCACAATATGAAAATATGTTGCAGATTAGGGAATGTAAACACATAAACACAGGGACACCTACAGCCATAACCCCTCCAAACTTTATCCTTTCAGAAATGTGTCCCTATAAACCTTCAAAATACATATAGACCTGATTTTCTCCTATTATACCCTGAAGCATACAGGCACTTAACTCCCATTGATTTCAGTACCTAAATGGGAGTTGTAGATCCTAAATTGTCTTTGAGGATGTAGCCTTTAGTTCTTGGTTAGTGCTGAAACTGGGAGTACTTGCCCATGCTCAGTATCTTTTAACGAGCTCAGTTCACTTCACCTAATAGACTGCACAGCTCGCAGTTCCCAGGGAATCAATATTCTGGACCAGATTCTAACTCGAGTCCTGCAATGCACAAAGCTCTTCTAAATAATTTTTAAAATGTGAATTGTGTGTGCATTATAATTTCCTGCTTTTTGAGTGGTTAGATGTGCAACTTTAATGTTCTCTTAATGTATTTTTAATGAACTTTCTTAAGGCTTCTGAGTGGGGAAAACATAAAAAAAAAATCTATAATATGGTCTAGACACTACTCAAATGACCCTTTTCCTGCAGAAGTAAGAAACTCAACAGGGAATTCCTTCTCCTGAAAGCTTCAGAGGTTGTGCAGCTTCTGACTTAGAGGCATCATGATTGAAGCAATAGTTCTTGCAGAGTCCAAACTCAGTTGCTGTGCATATCACAAGATACACAGTGGAAGAGGCACGAGCTGACAGGCTACTTTATTTTTTACTGTCAGCTATGTATTTATGCACAGCACAACCTTCTCCACTCTGTATATTTCAAAGCGCTAAAAAATCATACCAATTGTACTCTGCATGCTCAAAGTGCAGATTTCAAAGGTTCATGACTCAGTCAAATCAAAATCAATTTGCACCAGAACATTCAAAAGCACTTCTTCTTACTGAGGGCCATTTCTATGCTAAATTTCAACTCTGTGCTTGATTTTTTTTTCTACTTTTTATGGTTTTTTTTGGGAAAAGTTGCAAGAAAATTCTTCTAATGGTAAAAGTGGTTTTCTTCACTTCTTTCATATGCCAAATAATGGAAATGCGTTAATTCAAACAAAATTACACTTTTTGGTCAGAGACCAGGTCAAGAAAATTTCATTCCCAAAGGTTAAAGGACAGCTGAATTAAAGAAAAATTGGAAAAGTACATGAAAACTTAAATACTCTGATCAGTAATATTCCTGCTTTAGGAGCTTCACTAGCTGGAAAAGCGTTACATTTCTTTCTGTTGTAATAATTGCAGAGTATGGGGAACATGTATCATCATAATTTATATTATTAATTTGATGGCATGTCATGTGCTGATTTGGTATCCAATTCACGCCTTAGTATTTTAAATGTAAAATCAGTTCCTCATCACTGTTCTTTCCTGGCCTCAAGGCTCACTCCAGTTATGCCTACACTATGGAGTGCTGTGTAGCATGGGAGATTCTGAGCAAGCTTAGAGGTGCAAGCTTGGTTCATTGAAGCAGAGCAGGGCTCTGCAGACTAATTGTGGCACAGCAGCATGTGTTAGTGTAGCTAGAGCTTTCTGTTGCTTAGGCTGGATTCCTTCCTACACTCTGTCAGGCGGCTCAGATGCTCGATGCTGTACAGAGAAGTCTCTTTGAACAGTGTCAGGAGTGCTTGAAAGTGGGTCTGTTTGCTACAGCCCCACTCAGGGCTTTACAGTGGCTAATGACCACTGGAGTAGTAATGTTAGACTGATGAAAATCAAATGTTTCTCCTCCTCCCTCTCACTTCCTTTGCTGGAAGAAGGCAGACAAAAAAGAGGGATCATTCAGCCTCTGCTCTGGATGCCGATTCTTAACCAAAGGTGTGTTAACTGCCTGTTATGGCAGCTTTTGTGTCCCTTCATTCCAATGGTACTGAAAAGAGAGCTGTACCGAATCAATACGGTGCAGGAAGCCTGCTCTTAAAGGCTTCAAAATCCTAGGTGGCATCAAAGAATTACTGCTATTTGTTATTTTCTGCACTTCTCTCAGATGACTATTTATTTCAGCAGACATGTTTGAAATTTGAAGCAGGATACAGAAAACTTGCAGTATTGTATTTTTCTGAGGAGCATACAGACCACCAAGTCTGTCATAAAATCTGAGATTAAGAAAAACTCAAACTGTCTTGTTCTAAAATTTGACCTACTTTGAAGGTTGTCCCATGTAAAATTTAATTTACTGACCAACCAAATGTAGATGTATGGGTATTCGTGTGCTGCAATAAAATTCTGTAAAGACCATGAAATGTGACAATGATCTCTGAAAAGCTGGGTTATAGAAGTGATATTACAGATTTTAGTAATGCTTTAAATTAAGTGTCTTCAATATGCTTAACCTTGCATTAAACTTAGATTTAATAAGACAGATGTATATTAAGTACCGAATATACTTAAGGGAGCAATCTTGCATTGGCAGGGGATGGACTGAATGACCTCCTAATAGTTCTCCTCCATCTCTAATTTCTATGATACTAATTGATTATTAAAACACTTTTATTGAGGATTGATATGTAGCTATTATATAGTTATTAATCTTATAACCCAACTGATATTTAATTCATACATAATTTTAACACACAATGTCATTTTAGTTTTTAAAGAATAACTCTGGAACAGTGTGTTCACTAGGACTCTGAAAAATCGTGGTGGTAAATGAGGTTGGCCATTTTGAGGTTAATTGCAATTTTATGATTAAATCACACTTTACAGGGGTTTACAGAGGGAAGTAAGTTTACAGAGCTCTCCACAGGAAAAAAAATGTAATGTTTGCCTCAGCTATAGCATGGCTCAGGAAAGACAAAGAAACTTGTAATGAAGAGAGGTGCATTTATTAAAATCAAATATTATATATTGTTAGGTCTCAGACAACAGCCAATTTTTGAATATTTTAATGGTAATCTGTGTATCTCAATTTTAGAATTGTGAAGAACTATTCTAGAACTCTGAAAGTTTGGGGGAAATGGTGCAGTGCTTTTGAACATTCAAAATTAATTTCTGTGAATGTCTGGCTAAACAAAAAGCAGAAGTTTTGTAGAGCTGTGTTATTAATTCAGTTTGTATATGCCTAGGGCCATGGCTCATAATGGCATTCCTTTCTTTTTAACAAACTGTCAAGATTTTCAAAGGGTATCCTGAAAGCCATAAGTGCCTATTTGCTGGATGTATTTCTCATACCCTAAAGGCTTTCTTTGATATGGACTGATCTTTTACATTTATGGATGGAAGTCGCATTAGAAAATGCCCTTTGTGAAAACCTGTAGTATCTCAAGAGTGGCAAACATCTGATTTTTTGGCTAAGGAAGTATGAAGAGCGTTAGAAGTCTGAATGCTTTTTTAAAACAGAATTTTCAAATAATTAGCAGCAAGTAAAAATGTGAATAAATGCGAAAACTAATGCAAATGTATACTAATGCTTAAAAGTTCCTAGTTACTTAAAATAATATAAGGAGTGGGTAGAGAATACTTCTCAATTTGCCCATGGGATTTTCAGGGATTTGCACCTACTTTGTGATAAATTATTTACTTGCAACATATGTCTTTTGATGTCAAAAGTGTAATGACCAAGTTTTGTTTTTCAGGCAGAAGGCTGGAATGCAGATGGAAATGGCCCTAATGTCTGGGACATACTCACCCATCAGGGAGGAGATCGAGTTTTCAAGAACCAGACTGGTGATGTAGCTTGTGGCAGCTACACTCTGTGGGAGGAAGATTTGAAATGTATCAAACAGCTTGGATTGACTCATTATTGCTTTTCTCTTTCCTGGTCACGTCTGTTACCTGATGGGACGACAGGTTTCATCAACCAGAAACGCAATTGTTTCTTAAAAATAGAAGGTTGCAGCTTTAATTCAAGGTTATTGCTGCAGTCTGGCATAATTAATCCAGTATGCTATTCTGCAGTGTAGCTTTGAAATTGCAACTTTTTTCAGAGTAATTATGGGATGATTTTTTATAGGTTTTCAACAACTTACTAATTAATATTCTAGATCCCCTCGGATAGCACAATCTTCTGGGATAGGATTATTATTATGTTTCCTATGTATCTTTTTGCTTACTCCAGTTTTTTTAATTGTAACTCTAAATCATTTTGCTTCATCAGAATGTTTATACTTACAGGGATCCTAGCCATGAGAATATTTTTGGATGGCTTACAATAGACAAGTTATCTTATTTGGCAAGTGCGTTTAGATAGCTTATCAGTATACTCCAATGTGCTGAAATTCACATTGACTAGTTTGCACTGAGGGACATACTTTTCCCAGACATTTTTCTTTAGCAAATTAGAGAGGATTCTTCACACTGATAGGAGCTATGCTTAGTTCTCTGGCAAATAGAAACTCTGAAAAGAAGAGTTTTCACAGTCTCAGCAGGCAGTGTGTATGTGTAAAGGGATACAGCACATAAATAAACTGGTCAGATTGATAGAAGTCAGATATAAAATTTGTTTAACTTCTGATTAATTTATTTTAATTCCATTGGTGTGGACTGGGGAAGAGCTTAAGGTCACCCACTAGGGAAAAACAGGAAAGGGCAGTTGTGCCTACAGAACAGAGGGAATGGAAGAAAGAAGAAATTAAGAGAATTATGAAGAATAAAAGCAACTGAAGCTGAAATGATGGGAGAATCAAAGAAGCTGGCTGAGATTTCTTGTATGCTGGGAGGATAATGTTCCAAGGAGAAAGAAAGAAAAGGATATTTGAATGAACTTCTGAATCTCAATTCTGCTTCCTACTCTTCTGCATCTCCAAGATTTTATATATATATATATATATATATATATATATATATATATATATTTATTTATTTATTTATTTATGTATACTTCTAAGACAGTATTTGCCTTGGCAATTCCTTTTTTCTCCTGGTTTGAAGATTGCAATGATGGAAGATTACAAAGGATAGGATTTCTTAGAAAATACTCTTCAGGTTAGCCTTATCTGTACTAGGATGTTACCAGCAGAAGCAATCTCTTTCTGCGAATTTTGGTCATGTAGAGCTTGGCTGTTCAGTAGACAGCAGCCTATCCTCTGCATCCTGCAGATTAAGGTTTTCACCAGAGAGTGGAGGAGCCTTTGTTGCAAGATTTCAGAAAAGGGGGGCTGGTAAATCTGCTGCAAACAGACCAACAAGGCATTTTTCCCTGCAGAGTATGCCAGACACATGAGCCAGTATCCCAGAGAGGCTTGAATTGAAGCTTTTTCTTTGCCACCAAAATTTACAATACGTGGCCCACTTTCACTGGCACAGCTTGTCTTTCCCTCGGAATGCTTTTTGTGGTGTGTTGAATTTAAATTTGGCTGAGTCGTTGTGGTTTTCTTTCTTGTACTGATATTCCTTCAGCTGGGGCTGCAGGCACTGTAAAACCTCAGCAAGCTGCCTACTGAATGGGCTTTTTTATTTAGTTGTCAGAGTGGGAGATAGCAAGCAGACATTCTGAATGCACTTGGTAAGGAAAGCTAACATTTTGACAAAACTTAGCTGTAATTTCAGAATCCCCAGTATAAGCAGTTGCCTGATTAATATTATGAACTTTACATTTAACGAAAGGGCATTGGCAGAACTCCAAGTAGGCCAGCTTTCATTAGGCAGGAGTTCACTTCTCCTGTGCAGTGATCTGTTGAAGCAATTGTAACTGCATAGCATGGAAAGGCCATCATCTTCTATATAAACATTTTTGCAAAGAGCATGTGAAGAATTAGAAAGCTTAAAGCAATGTCCTTTCAAATAAAATCATTCACACCAACTGATTCACTACCAATTTCACACCTAAGATGTAGGACATTTGAAAACCTTTAAAACCACTCTGTTTCTATCTTGGAGGAGGTAGGGTCTTTTCAAGCAGTGATGTTGTAGATGTATTGTTCCTAAGATGTGTCAGGTTTTAGCTTAAAGCTTACACCAAGTTTTAAAAGTATTTTTGTACAATTGTTTTTACCCTAGAAGGTGCCCTGAGCAGAATAAATGAGCTGCTAAACATTACGTGTGAGTGCAGAAGAAGTCAGAAGTTGTAGACAGGGAGATATTTAGTCTGTGAGAATCTGATGTTATGCCTCACTTCAGCATGAAGGGGAAGAGATGATAGAAAGGAGAAAAGGTCCATCCTTCACTTTCTACTGAAAAACTGCTCCTTAATATCTGCAATCCCAAAGTTTTGGGTTATCTCCACAAAATCCTTATATACATACTTCCTCAGAAGAATGTCTTCTTCTGTATTTCTGCTTCTACCAGACTTACAGATACACCCAGAGAAACTAAGTCAGCCTACTCTGGAAGGCATGAGACAACCTGGAATTTTCACTAGACAGTCACATTTTTCAGGCATGAAGTTCTATTTCTCTTCATTTTCCAACAAAAGGCATAAATCTTTTCCAATATAGGTGTTTAATTGAGTTGTAAAAAATAAATGATAGCTGGTTGCACTAAAATGTTATAAATTGTACTATATAATTTATAATCTGAGAATTAGCATGAGAAATGCTAGTGTCTTCTCGGTAGGGGTTGAATATGGGAGGACAGGATCCCATAGCAGCAAAGGATGTCTTTTTTCCCAGTTTAATCTTACGTAGCAAACCTTGTAGTCTCATCAGCAAAGAGTTAACACACACACCTAAGACACACACTGAAGACAAACAGAACCCCATTCAAAATCTGGAGTAACACAGTGTATTTGCTGCTAATTGTGATTGCAAATTGCAATAATTCATTTTTCAAAATTTAAGTGCCAGTATATTCCTTTCTCTTTTGCATGGGTGCATTCTCAGGCACAGGCACACATCTCCTCAGAATTAAATGTGGTTTTCTGGTGCTGCATTCAGAAGAAAAAGCAAACTACATGTGAGATTTACTGTGAATTACTTTGTAAACAATCTTATTGAGTCTTGCTGTGCTAAGGGATGTGTATGCACCTGTTTGTTTAGGAGAAGGTACTGTCTAAATCCGGGGTTCATAATTGATTGCTGCAGTAAATGTTGTCTTAAAAAAGCTATTTGGCAGGAATCCCTAAGATCAGTCATTTGAAGTTGGGTTAAATTGAAGTCTAATAGTGTCCTTTTAAGAAGAAGGTAGTATGGCATTCTGTGTTGGCATTTTCAAACATCAATACACAGTAACCTGAACCTGAAAATACCAAGGAATATATAATAGAAATATAGAACAAACTTCCCGCTTTGGATTAAACAAAACCTCTGGTTCAGAAACTGTTAAGAATAATGATCTAAGCCATACATAACCTCCTAAGCATACTTTTTATTAACCTTTGCAATTTAGTCTTCCTCCTCCTACTTTTTGCTGTGTTTTTTAGTTGCGTAGACATTTCTCCGTTCTGTGTTTCAATACAGCAAGGCCTTGAGATAGATATTTCACAAGCACCTATGTCTAATAAGCATATGTGGTAGTCTAAGGACCCACAAAAATTTTATGAGATTCAGGTTTCTGAGGTTGTTAAACACTTTGGTATATTTAGCCAAAGTCTCTGAAGCAAAGACTGACTGATTTCTACATTCCAGCAGCGTGAGAGAGACCTATTCCTGTCTGGAGCCTCTTAGCTTAACAAATAATAATTCAAGGCCACTGTTGGCCTTTTCCAATTACTGCACTAAACCAGATAGTTCAAGTAAAAGAGCAAGCTAATTGATACTCTCCGAACCAGAGCTTATGATGTGTATTTCAATATCTAGTGTTTTCTGAAGGTTTAAAAGCAATACAGTTTTGTTTGGATATAAGCAAAATTAAAAATTCCTATTTAAGAACTTAAAGGATCCTGATATTTAAACTTACAGTGACCTCTCAGTACCATTAAAATAGTCCTTTAGGAAATATATTCATGTCAGCCACTGCTAAATCGGTACAGAAGGTGAATTCCTTTTAAGCCTCTAGAAATACATCCCCAGTACTGGCCAGCTTTAACAATACATCCAGGAAATTAAAGTTGATCTCTGTCTTAGCAAGAGGGGACAAGAAAGGTTAGAAGTCATGAGCTTTTAGAGAGGTGAGCTAATCCTTCTTGCAGTTAGGAGGACTGAGCAGACTGCAGTAGCGGCAGTGTGAAAGTGTAAGAGATGGTTTCTTGGATAGACTATTGTCAAACCATTCAGGTTGGTGGTTAAAGAGAACACTGCCTCAGACTCCATCTAAAATCTAGTAGAACCCAATGAAAAGCCTTAAATATCATATAGATCTAATGAGTGAAATGTTGAATTCACACCATTGCAAAATGTTGAATACACTGACAGCGTCTTTGTCCTGATACTGGCACAGTGATGAAGAGTGGAACATTCTAGAGGAAACTGCTAATCCAGATAACCAAGCTCAAAACATAAAAGATCTGTTTAGTTACCTTGCTGAGTGTAGCACTGAAGTTTTTAAAAGACACAGTTCTCAAGGAGAAAAATACTTTCATTAGAACAAATATACCTGTAAGGCTCTCTAGCGTCAGGCTTTTTCCAACACGCTTGTATCTTGCACACTCAGTCAGGCTGCCATTCAGGCATTTAAATGAAAGGATTATATTTTCATGTGACCAGCACCGATCAGAATTATGTTTTTCCTGGGGAGTTGCTGTCCACTGATCTATTCTGAAAATTTGCATCCTCATTTCATTTTATGTGCCTGGTTGGAAGATTTTGTGTGCTGAGCATTTTTGCCAACTCTGGGGTCTTGTAACCGTAGTCAGCATGCACTTGAGAGAAAATATTTGCATCTCATAACAGAGAAAATGTGCAGTGAGGTTGCTTCAAGTGTTAAAATGTAACAGATTTATTATTAACCCTTTTTTCTTTCATATTTTCAGTAGTCAATTCTTATTGCAAAACCATTATTAACATGGGAAATGGCAT